CTCATGAATATTGCGAAGGAGATTATGTGATGTTACGCAATTTTAATTAAATTTTATTCGAATTATTATTCGTCCTAAGCCCCAAGGCCCTCCATACACTATTTTTATTAGAATTTAGCCGGGCGCGTAGTCGTCGTTCACGTTCACGCTCGAAGGAGCCCGGTGCAATGACCAGCCTTCGTTCAGAACATTTTTAAATTACATGAACTTGTACTAGAAATTACTTTATAGTTCCAATGCGAAATTAGTTTGTTACACTGACGTGAACAACCGATTTCTCTATTTTAATTACTCACCGTCCAATTTTGATCGGGGACCAGTTCAGTTTCTTTGTGGATGAGCGATATCATTGCATCGTCGGGAACGTATTTGCCGGAGAGCGCGAGACTACTGCGACATGGCTCTGTCCAAATCACTGTTGTTGAAATGTTCAAAGTTATACACGTCCTCTGGAATTATTAATTTATTTCCGATTATCGGACTGGACTTTAAAACGATTGATAAATTCTTGCTGATCTGTGCATATCCGATTGTCTACACCTATTATAGATAAACGCGGATTATTTTTAGTTATTTGGAATAACTTCCTTTTGCAACAAGGAAACTTAAGAAACTCCAAGAGTAGCAAAATCTAATCGTCTACGATTCCACGAAACGAATTTTTATGAATTGTGTTTCAACTACATAAATCGATGGATTTAGATCTTTGTTTGTTGCAACATTATGTACTAAGTTCTGTTTTACATTCATGAAATCATCGAGCGAGTCTAAGCAACACGCCATGCGTGTTTAATCGAGCCAATTTTTATGAAACTTGAATTCTGCTTTGAAAACTGTTAGATCATGTAGATTCCCATGTTTCTATTGACACATACAAATATGTATATATGTGTGAGTGTGAGCGCGAAGGTATAGAAAGGACTTTGAAAAATATGATGAAGAACAAAGTTATAGAAGGGGCCGACGATGTCGAAGACGATAATATATCATGCGAAGGATGCATATATGGCAAGATGCATCGGCTTCCATACCAGAGCAACCAAGGACACGAATATGATGTCGGCGAATGTATATATACTGATTTATGCGGACCAATGTCAAAGTCATTAGGTAATTCAAAGTTTTTCATGTTATTAAAGGATAAACGATCAGGTTTCCGTCATGTTTACTTTCTTAAACATAAAAATGAGGCATTGGATTGTTTCAAGAAGTATTATAACGAAGTAGTTGTACAGCAGAAGAAGAGAATAATCACCCTTAGGTCAGATAATGGACTTGAATTTACAAATAAGCCTTTTAAGGACTTCTTGGGTAGCCGAGGAATTAAGCTATGTACATCATCTCCCTACTGTCCTCAGCAGAATGGTCGTATCGAGAGAGAGAACCGAACCGTAGTGGAATCAGCTAGAAGCATGCTACACACTAAACAGATGCCTATTTACTTATGGGCTGAGGCAGTAAATATGGCAGTATACGCGTTAAACAGGACTACGCCTGTAAATAACAAGAATATTACTCCTTATGAAATGTGGTATCAAAGGAAACCAAATGTAAGCCATATGCGACCATTTGGCACTGAAGCATTTGTCTTGATTCCAGATATTAAAAGATCGAAGTTCGATGCGTCAGCCGATAAAGTTTTTGTTGTTGGTTATGATCAGGATTCTTCCAATTACAGATTGTTTAATTTGGAGAAGAAGAAAGTCATCGTGGCTCGAGATGTAACCTTTAAAGAACAATCGAGTAAGGAGTGCAATGACATAATCATACCGATTGCAACGGAAGCTAAAGCCATTCAAACTGATACTGCCTCTACCTATAAAGAAAAACTCATTGAAATGTGTGAGCATGACAATGTCAAGGGTCATGATGCTGAAGATGAAGATATGGAGGGTGTCCAAATGGATCAGAATGTAATAGCTGTTGATCCTCCAGCCAAGAGAAGGGCAAGTAAGAGAAAGCTTGATGAAACTCTGATGTTAGGTCCTAGATTACGCGACAGAGATAAGATAAAGAGGCCGAAAAGATATGAATGTAATTCTGTAGATATATACGAACCGATTGATTATCAAGGTGCAAGAAATAGTCCAGAAGCCAAGTTTTGGGAACAGGCAATTGAAGAAGAACTTGAGTCACATCGGCAGAACAACACCTGGGAGATCGTTGATCGACCTGAGAACGTTCCACTATTGGATACGAAATGGGTTTTTAAGATAAAAATGGACTCTGTCGGAAATGTCCAACGATTCAAGGCGAGGTTCTGTAGTCATGGCTACAAGCAAAGGAAAGGAATTGATTACAATGACACCTTTGCATCTGTTGCTAAATATGAGTCAATCCGAATCCTTTTTGCGATTGCTGCTCAAATGGACTTAGAGATTGTTCAATTTCATATAAAAACAGTGTTTTTATACGGCATATTAGAGGAGGAACTGTATATGAAAATTCCTGAAGGCTTGGAAGTACAAGATGAAGAAAACGAAGTCTATAAGTTAATAAAATCTCTTTACGGTCTGAAACAATCATCGAAATGTTGGAATACG